TATATATATATATATATATATATACACACACACACACACATATATATATATGTTCCTATTTTGGTAATCAAAGAAACAGATTAATGTGTTCCCTTAAAAAAAATTCCAACACAGAGGTTGCATTCAGAATCCAGGTAGACAAATGCAGTTAAATTTACAATGTGACTGGGAATCCTTCTCAATTCAGCAATGCATTTCCTATCTAAAGGCATTTTAACTCAGGTTTTTGACCACAAACATAAAACAAAAAAGGCTAAGCAAAAAGACTTTCCCATCAGATTAAGTTGGGCTACAAGTCCTAGTTGTTGATTCTAAGGGTAAATCTAAAATATTTAGTAGAGTTACATAGATTTCCACTAGATGAGATCATTGGGAGAATTCTTGACTGACATGAAGATCCCAATTAAAGACTAAAATTGTGCTATCATTGTTTTTAGTGTTCACTAACATACAGCAACAATGGTAGCTATTAAATAAAGTCATCAATGACATTTTTCATATTATTGTAATTAGCTAATTTGTTTCTCAGAAGTTTTTTTAGACCATCTCAGTCACATGTGTGTGATCAGAACTTAGTTTGACACAAAAGGTTAGGTAATATTGTCTTAAGCAGGCCAGCACTCATGTATTCTTTTAAAGATTTATTTTATTTACTTATGCATACAAGAGCTGGGGTGTGGGCCAAAGGTTGGGGTGGAGGGTTGACAGGATTCACCAGAGACAGAGTGGGGAGCAGAACAGGTGGATCTACTGAAATACACTGCTGAGGGGAGCAGTGGGTGAGGCGGGATGAAAGAAATAATTGCTTCTTTAATATTTAATCAGTCATGAGAATTGTGATTTGCATGTTTTGAGATTTTTTTTTCACCTTAGATATCAAAATAACAACCACATATATTACACATAACAATTACATATTTTTTTCAGTTTTGGAGGAAAGTGTTAGTAATTTGATAGGCTCCTGCATGGATTGGTTTTTAATATGTAACTTTTATTATTTACAGAACTTCGAAGTAATTATTGCTTATCTCTATTTCATAGAGAAGGAAAGGAAAATTCAGATAGTTCAACTTTTGAACTCAGCTTTATGCACCTCAGTTATATTCCGTTCAAGTCAAGATGTTGATCCGTTTTCATCACCACCTCGACTTAACCCCACATGCTCTGGTCTGTGTTTTATTGTCATAAAATGAACACCTGTCAGGACAATTAGGATTTTGAGTAATGGAGATCCTTAGAGTTACCTCCCAGCATGCCTTCCCTCCTTAATATTTGACAAAAAAAATGAGTTTTTGTCTCTATTTTTGTGTCTATTTTACCCCGAAAGAATTGCGTCACCTTGAGAAGACAGCTACGTTTCTAAATCCCTGCATTTTGAAGGTTATCCCTGTTTATCCCAAATTTCCTGTCCACATAAATTCTCTAACTCAGAGAACATAAGTGAAGGAGCAAGTGCGGGTAAAATATTAACTGAGAACAACACAAATATCTCAACTCTAAACGTGATGGCAACAATGGCAGAGACTCTCAGGCCTTCAGCAGTGCCCCAGAGGAACCGCAGAGCCAACATGTCCAAAACTAAATTCATGACTTTGCTCGGCCCCTTCATGATCTGTCTCAAGATGCCAGGTAGCGTCGCCTCAGCTTCCTACACTGCCCATGACAGTCAGGTCTTGTCACTGACACATCCCACCCGTCTTCTCTTCCGAGTCGCCATCAGCTCCCTTGGTTTTGGCCATCTGCTCTGGCAGAGCTAGTTCTCACCATTGCCTCCAGCCGGAGGAACTAGCTCCTGACTCCTACCTGATCCCCACACGCCCTCTGCGCGTCTCCCTCCCTCACTGCGGAGAAAGCTAGCCTGTTACTTTCGAGTTGCTAATATGATCTACTTAGATCCTTTCTCACTTTAGGGCTTCCAGACCCCTAAGCACTGTGTGAGCCGGCGTGCGTGCGGCCGTGTGCTCCTCTCCCAGCCTGGCTTCCCGCCCCAGGCTGGCTCCTCTCCTGCACCTCCCTCCTCAGTGTGCTGCGCTTCCCCCTGCCAGGCTGTTTCTCCTCTTTGGAGTTTTTCCTTCCCTGACACTCGGCTTTGCTTCACTCTAGTTGCCCTGGTCTACACGAGTTCCCTTTACTCTCATGAAACTCCTGTCCTTTTCCAAGGCCTTTATTGTATTTCATCATGATGAACTCTTCAGTGACAGTTTTCAAGTAATATCTGTCTTCTAGTCAGTACTCTAAAATACAAGAAATTTTCAGGTATTCGCTTTTGTAACTCCACCTCCTAGCATAAGAGATACTCGTTAAATATTTGCAACTTTTGGAGTAAATGTTTGCATTTCTGTTACTAGTGAAAGTATTTACGGTATTGTGATTGTATGAACTCTGTCAACACATGTAAGGTGTTTGGATTTGTCAAAGCTTTTTGTCAACAATACTTTGACCTTAAAATGTGTTTATATAAAAGTAACCCACATGGAATTTAATGAAATTGCCTTCATGTATAGTATCAGGCCCACAAACGATGATATAGGCATTAATTCATTGCTTTCTTTGAGTTGGGATCTGAGACTGGCTATATCTCTTTTTATGGAGATACCTACTCAATAACAATAAATGTAACATGCCTTTGGAGCCTACATTTTTGTGAGCATTTTATATCCAAAGAAGTTATTTAGATTTTTAAAACCCTTTTGTCAATTTTTAAAATTTTCTTTTTTATTTTAACTCCAAGTAGATGAAATCTACTCTTGTTGAAATTGTTGGACTGAAACCAATAGTTGTGTCTGTAATAGTAGAAACAGAGGACCAAAGATGGAGCTCTGTAGGATAGAAGCATTTAGGGCTCAGACGTGTGGGTGTGCTGAGGTTCTTAGCAGGATGCTTTTCCTCAGCTCATGAGCTGAATGTGAACCAAAGTGAGTGGAAATCACCTTCTTCTGCATCTGGAAATGTAGCATTCAGTGGAGAGTCTCTCTGAGATTTTCTTTGGATCTTAACAAGGAAAACAAGCATATGATATTACAAACCCCACACTAATTTGCTCTAATCAAAATAGGTCGTGTTGATGCACTATAGAAGAAAGTATTCACGATAAGTAAATTCAAAGTCAGTGCTTGGTCAACTCTCAGGTAGACTCTCTAGAGATACCTACCACTGCCCCCAACCCCCACTCCTTACAAATTAACTTAACTGAAAATGAAAATGTGTTTACTGACATCATGTTCCATGATTCTTCAGGGCATTTTAAAAAATACTTTCATATTCTAGACATTCAATATTTATATTATTCTAGATCACAGTGAAATACAGCTTCATTTATTGGATGAGTTTCATTTCCTTCAATGGACTACTGGGAAGTTATTGTGTTTCCAATGTAAGCCACAGCAGGAAGTAAGCCAAAATTCTCTTCTCAGTTCTTTGAAAATGGTATAGACTTTCATTAAATTTGAACTGGGCCATGCCTGTGAAGCAGCCCATTGAGATCAGAAAATTTTGCAAGACTGCCTATTGACTGCTACTAAATAAAAAGGTCCCCATTTAG